GGTCTGTGCAATCTGAAGCAGTTGGCCTGTGCCTCATACTCAGAAAGAAATGTGCAAAGAGGCAAGATGGTAGAGAGAGGTGGGTGCAAGGTATTTCAGGAAGATTGTGCCTCAAGTGGCCTTAGGCGGTTCCTGAAGCTCTACTTGGTAAAGGAGAAACAAGATGATTTCATGTACCAAAAAAAGGCATAAAAGTAGCAAGAGCTTGCATGATGTCTTGCAGATGGGCCTGAGACAACCTCTTTCTTCCCAGGGTCTAAAATGTGTTCTGAGGCTTTAACAGGAAAAGAAGTGAGCATTAATGGGCTTGAAGGGCTCTTACAAATACAAAAAGGACTATGCCAGGGCAACCTGCTGGGAAAACTCACCAAGACCAGGTAAAACAATGGTATAGGCGGAGGATGAGTGATACCCAGATGGCCTCTTCAACCCAAGATGCCTGGGCATCGTATAAGATCCTCCAAAACCTCAAAGCAAACTGTGACAGGGAGGAATTCCTAAATTCAGTGGACTAAGTGTCTGCCTTAAGAATGAAGAAGGAAGTATTAAAATACAGATGAAGTTACATTTCTTGTATCCTTAAGTTTATAAAATGAGATTCAAATTCACTCAAGTAAGATTCTAGAACTAAAAAAGTTTTCCAAAATCTCTCTAGAAGTAGCTGGAAAACTCTAGCTACTGAAGAAGCAGGTGTAATTCTAATTACACCTAATTCAACAGAAGCTGGTGTAGAATTAGGACTCGGGTTACAGGTTACCAAGACTTGGCTAACTAAAGTAGTCCAGCGAGGTGCTAGAGGTCTTATAACTTGCCATTACTGGTTCTAGGGGATGAGGGTGTTCACTGCTCTTCAGTGGAACAGCACCCAGTGAAACCTGGTGGGGAACTGGCTCCCTGCCCAGGTCTGATGGCCAAAGACAAAAGGACAAGCAAACATCAAAGGAAACCAAGCAGAAACTGCATTGTGCTTATTAATATATGTTAGTTGCTATATACATGAATTGGTTTGATCTCTATTGATGACTTCAACATAAAGTTAAGGATATATTCAATGGGCAGAGAACTTTGAGGGGGGAAAAAGCATTAATCTTCT